CACCTTAAGCAATTCTGCAGCTGAAGTGTGTTGATGCTTGCCAAAGGCTTCATGTCCCTCTGCTTTGGAGACTGTATCTGGGCAGGCAGTGCGTCATGACATGAGGGGAGAGGGGAGGCAGAAATGGAAACATCCTACGGCTGGCCAGCCCAGGATGTCAGGTTCTTTGCTGTAGAGCTGCTGGGGGGAGGGGCAGGTAGGATAGGCCTATATGGATAGCAGCCAGAGTCAAGGGTGGGCAGGGACCTGCATGACAATGACAGGTTTTGAAATTTGTGGAGGGAGCCATGGCTGAGGCACAGGTACACTCAGCATGTGTGCAGGGATGCCTGAGCTCAGCTGGGCCACCACCTCTTGCAGAAACCTGCCTACTGTGAACGACCTGGGCTCTAGTGCCTGCCTCTGCCCCTACCCCATCATTGGCCTCAAATGCACAGCTTCTCTCTTCACCCTGGGGAGGCAGGTAGGCGAGGACGGAGGCTGGTGCAGGCTGGGTGTGCAGGTCCGTGGTTGGAGGTATCAGTGAGGATCTGGGGAGAGGTGCCTAGATAGCTCTGATTCTGCCCACGTAGGATGCCTGAGAGCCTCCCAATCCCTCCCCTATGTTCAGTCTGAGTGTCACTGACATTCTTGGGCTGATGGACTCTTCTCACGTTGGCTTGGTCCCCAAAATGTCATGTAATTTTGGGTAAGTCACCATCTTTGACTTTTTTGCTTCTCTGGCTATAACATGACAAGTGTTGCCTCACTCAACACCTTTGGCCCCCTCCTCTCCCTAGCACTTGCCCAAACACAGCTGGCTGGCAACCAGAGCAGAGCATGGAGTGGGATGGGCCACCATGGCATAGATCTGAAAGAAGAGAGGAAACAGCTGGAGCCCACAACCTACCCCCTCCCCAGCTGAGGCAGCCCTGAAAACAATGACTTAGGGTCTTTGAATCCCTCCACTCCCACCACAGCCTGGTGGAGATGTTGAAGGGAAATTCTGGAGAAGGAAAGAACTCCCTTCTGTCCCCCAACCCCAGGTGCTGCCATGGATCCGATTTCCCCACTCTTCTCTCCTTGGCCTCACTCTCCAGGGATGTCCCCCATTTACTTGTGGTTCAGCCACTGTTCACATACTAATGACCAAGGAATTCCAAACCCCCAAATCCAGTCCAGCTCCCGGCAGCCACACTGTTTAACTCCATGAAGCCCAGGATTGGGCGGCAGGGTGGGAAGGGAAGTGGGATTCCACTAAAACACAGTGTGTGGTGCCCCAGAGCTGTGTAAGGCTCTGTTGGGACCTCTCTCCTGGACATCAGGAGCCTCTACCTGATTGCCTATAGGACCACCAGATTGTCCCAAAGGCACCACAAACTCAACCTGAGCTCATGAACATGTCAGAGCCCTCCTCCCTTTTAGTAATGGCACCATTATCCCAGGAACTTAGCCTCCAAACCTCTGTCCCTTCTGACTCCTCTACTCCTTTGTCCCTCATCCAGCCTCTTCCTAAGTCCCGTCAGTCCTGCTGCAGGCTGTCTGCCTCTCTCCACCTCTTCTGCCCCTGGATCATCTGTCTTATTTTTAAACCATCAAACACTTAGAGCACTTGTGCTTGGCTTTGTTCTAAGTGCTTTACCAGATAAGGAAACTGAGGTACAGAGAAGTGAAGTGTCTGGCTCAGGGCCAGGAGGGTCAGGATTTGAGCCCACGCAGCCTGCTCCAAAGCCTGGGCTGTGAACCTCTGTCTCTTGTACCATCACAAATCTCCGCGCTCATCCCTGCACCTTCAGTCGTGCCCTCATTCAGTCCCTCCCACACGTTGCTCACAGGCTGGTCCTTCTTTCCTTCTTGTTTAAGAAAACACTTTAATGGCAAAAATTACTACCACAGTTGGTCTTTCTGAAGCATAACTTTGAACACGTTATTCCCTGCTCAAAAAACCTTGAAATTGCCCCCACTGCTCCACCTTGTGCAACCAGAAGGGAGCTCGTCCCCAGGCTAGGAATCCAAGGGCGTGACTCCAACAAGTTCCCCTGGGGAACCCCTCACTGTTGCCTTCAGGCACCCCTTCCTCTAGCCGTCCTGTGTCACCTGCTCCCACAGCAGCACAGCCTGGGGAGCTCTGAGTGGACTTTTTCTCCTCAAAGAAAGGCTGCAAAGCCTGATTCCTCTTCGGACCACCCGCAGCGTCCACCACAGCATGTCACACAGAGGTAGGCACAGCACACCCGATGAATGAATAACAGTGCAACCAAGCCGCTGATGCAGGTGGAAATGAATTATTTCACTAAACAACATTTGCAGAACTCTTATGTCCAATACTAATAGCTAACACTGGGCACTCTGTGAAACACTTTACATATATCATTTAATCCACTCTACAGTCTTATGAAGTCAGTGCCATCACTATCCTTCATTTTACAATTAAGAAAACTGAGGCTCTGAGAGGGGAACTAACTAGTCCAGAGCCACAGAGCTCTGAAGTAGAGCGGTTGGGATCGGAACCAAGGCTGCCTGGCTCTGAAGCGTCCTTTGGACCACCACACCTCGCTGCCTCCAGCGGCCAGAGGAGTGTTAGACAAATGTTCCAACATCCAGGTACTGTTCAAAGACCACGTAATGGAGACATATCAGTGATATCAAGGTAACAGTGTCCAACCTCTGAGAAGCATCATAGCACTGACAATGTCAAAATGTCTGAAGAGTATAAGGATTTTATGTAATGTTGTACTTTAGTCATTTAAACATTTATCAAGCACCTACTGCTATTTTAACCCATTGGTATAGAGCAGTGACAAAACTCCCCAAAACTCCTCCTCTCATGTAGCTGATATTTGGGGGAAGGGGGATTAAACAAAAAATACATGTCAGAGGTGACAGTTGCCATGGAAAAAAATTAAGCTGGGTTAGGAAAAAGGGACTGTCCAATGAGCTGGTGGGGGTATGTTGGGGCATTGCTACTTGTATAGGATCAGAAAGCCCTTCCCAAAAAGGTGACGTCTGAGCAGAGGCATGAAGTGAGCCATGCAATGATCTATAGATAGTCCAGGCAGAGGACACAGCATGTGCAAAGGCACTGAACTAAAGGCATGCTTGGCCCAGTCAAGGAATAGTCAAGAGGGCTGTGTGGCAGGAGCAGAATGAATGGGGACAGAAAAAGCAGGTGAGATATGCAAACATATGAAAATGTTGAGGCCTACAGAAGGTCAGGCTCTGTGTAATACCACATGTCTGAGAAATAGAAATAGCTAGGATTTATTGAGTGTGTTCCACTTGCCTGGTACTCAGCGCTGCTGACACAAAACCTGCTACAGACAGGCTTCCTTAGAGTCTAATGGGAAGACATATAAAGAAATCCCACAGCGCTATGTGACAGGTGTTATGTTGGGTGAAACTACAGGAAAAAAGCATCTAACCCAGACTAGGGGCCAAGGGAGGTTTCTGGAAGAGGTGGCACTTGATCTGTCAAACATGAAAAAGAAAACACTCCAAAACACAGGTGCACAGAGGGAAGAGCAGGCCAGAACCTGGAATGGCCAGGCAGAACTCAAGTAGCAGTGCACTGGGCTGGGGGTGGAGGTGCAGGTGCAGGGGCAGCTTGTGGGAGGAAAAGCTCCAGGAGCTGGGCTGAGAGAAGGAAAGAGGGGACAGATTTATAGGGGCTTAGAAAACTTCTGGAATGGGAGGCCCAGGCTTAAGTATGTGTGTGGGAAGTGGTTATGGAGGAAGGGACAAAGGGCGAGTAGAGGTGGAACAAAGCCTTCAGGACTTTCATACTGGCCCAGACCCCTGCTTTCTCACAGGTCATTAGGTGGTCTAGCTGTTGTTGACAGGGAAGCAAAAGGTAAGGGGCCACCCCCACCTGTACCAGGTCTTGGTTTCTCAGACCATCCTATGAGGTTCAGATCTTTCTTTTAGGCAGTTCTCTGAGTCCTCATGCTGAGGCACCCCAGGACACTCTGGTAAGAGGCATAAACTGTGTGTCCACCGCCATAACCTGTGTGTCTTACAGTCAATCGAGGATGGACAGACTCTGCTGTCATCCTCCTTACTATCGGTGATGCTGAGCTCAGAGAGGTTAAGGTCTTGCCAAAGTCACAAGACCATTGGGTGTCCAAGTTGGGACTTGAGTCCAACTCTTAAGATTGCAAGCCCCACAGTAACATCGTGGCAGCTGCAGAAAATGGCCTGAGGAAGAGGATGAGTGAGGCAGGCTCTGGGATGGAGCGGATGATGGAGAGGGAGTGACAGACACGAAGAGTGGAGGTGGAAAAGGAGCAGCACAGGGGCTTGGAGAGGCTTTGAGATAGAACTAGAGGTGTCCACAGAAAGACCTGGTAAAATGTCCCAGGAGGGGTATAAAAAAACAGAAGCTGCACCTTCCCACACCATGGCTCTGTGACAAGGTAGTAAGGGGCTTCTTGCTCCCATTTCACAGGTGAGAAAACAGAGGCAAAGAGAGGCGTCCACCTGGCTTGCCCAAAGGCCCATAGGGACTTAAGGCCCTGTGAGAAGCTGGGGAAGCTAGACAAACCGTCGTCAGAGACTTTTCCCAATCTCCCGTGGATGATGAAATAGAGATGATGAGAGGGGAAATGGAGATGGAGGTAGAAATCAGGGTTGCATCCAAAAAGGGAGCGGAAAAGAGGCAGAAGCACGGGTACAGCCTGTCAGTGGCAGAGATGGTGGAGAAATGAGGCCCTGACACCCAGCTCCAGTTACCCGCCCGCAGCATCAGCTGGCCGGGGTGTCACGGAGTCCCCGCGCCTCCTGTCGCCCGCCCGCGGACCCATCCACTTGGGCTGCTCCGCAGCGCGCGCTCCCTGGCCCCGGGGTGAGGGAGGAGGGGGCTGGAGGAGGGGGCGGTGCACCCCCCCTTTCTCGAGAACCTGCAGAGACCTCCTCCGCAGCCTTCGGGCCCATTCCCCTCCCCTCTCCTCCCCGCCCCGGCCCCTCCCCCCAACCCCCAACCCGCGCCCGAATGGTACGTTCCGGTCCGCCTGGCCCGGCTGCAGTGGATGTTGCTAGAACCCACGCCGAGGAAGGAAGAGACACAGGCAGGCTGCAGTGACCCAAGCGGCAGCCCCTGCCTCAGGGACCCCTTCCCCGAGAGACGGCACCATGACCCAGGGAAAGGTACCGGCATCTCCCCCACCTGAACCATCCTCCATCCTCAGGTTTCCTGGCTCCCTGTCACCCTAGGCAAGCTCTCTGGACCACTGTAAGAATCCTCCCCTGGCCCCTGAGGAAAGGTCCTCTGTGGTCCTTGCTGAAGTCAGAGAACCGTAAGGCCCATTTCAAGGAATGGGTTGGGGCCTCTTCCTGCCCACCAGGCTCACCTCTCCTCCCCTGTCTCCCTTCCATCCTTTGCTTTGACATCACAGAACCCTGCACAGATGCCCAGTCCCCCTTTAGGAGTCAGCCTGGTGTCCGTGTGTGTCCATGTTAAGTGTGTATGTGTGTGTGTGTGTTCACGAGGGTGAGCCCTGAGGGGCAGTTCCTATCCAGCATCCCCTTCTGGCCCAATCCCAACCCTAACATTAGCTCATCTACCGTGCCCTCCACAGAAATACCCCCACCCAACTTCCTGTCCTGATTCCACATCTGGATACATCACCTGTGGTTAGTGGGTTACTATAGCAACCCTTCATCAGGATGCTCTAATTTTTGTTTTGGTTTTGGCAGGGCATGGGACTAGATGAGACCAGATGAAACGTCTTCTCTTTTTTGTAGTTCTAGGCCTAAAATGTAGGGGATGGGTTGGGGCAGAGACTTGGCTGGCCTAGTAGGGTTATATAACATCAACATCCTGTGGAATTATACAACTACCAGGGCCTGGGGCAAAGGAGGAGGGTCCTCTGGCCTTTTCTTTAGGGGTGCTAAGGATTGAGCTGAGAAAACAGACAGGAACCTCTCTTACACTCCCCTTCTGTTTTCTAAGATGAGCCTCAGAGCCAATAGCAGCCTTCCCTGGCCTCTCAGAACCTCCTCTCCCTGTTTTTAAGCTTATCAGGCCTCAAAATGATGTCATTGGGTGATACCACCTCCTGCCATTGAGCAGACCTCACTTAGGAATGCTGGATATGTTTGTGTGTGTATGGGGGACAAGGCCCAGGAGGCTCTATGTGATTGAGTGCAAGGGTGGGGGTTGGTGAAGGGACCAGCTTGAACAGGGCTGAAGTCAGAGGTGATCATCCTTCTCCCAGGCATGAACCCTGGATCTGGGCTCAGATGACCTTGTTCTGGGGAGCTGAAATGGATTTTCCTGGGTATGACCCTCTGGTCTGGGTGATCATGGAGGTTGAGGAGTGGGAGGGAAGCAAATGAGCAAGGGCCCCACTCCTACAGGACTAGGCTTGGAAGCCCTTCCCCTAGGAGGTCTAAGGGGGTATTCACTGCAGTAGCTCCCTTTTCTCTTGATGCTCCCACTCCATTCCCTACCCCTACCTCCACCAGGCACTTTGCTGACCCTGCTTCCTGTCCTGAGCTGAATGTATTACCTCTGCCTCCTCAGCCACCCACCCCCAGCTTACTCACAGGCTTTCTAGCGATGGACTAGACCCTTCCAGTTCAGTGGTTCTCAGGGCTGGATGAGAGCTATCTGGTGCTTGCCCGACTCTGAGCTGCCTCAGCCACACACCCTGCCAAGAAGGGACTCTGCAGCCTTCCTCAGTAGCCCTTCAGGTTTAACACATTCTTTTTGGAGTCAGACCTAAACCCCACTTTCTGAAGTTCAGTCCTTTTGTTGCTGTTTCAGTTTTCATACCACCCCAGTCTGCCCTTCTCTGGCAACATCATTCAGGCCCTCACAGCTCATGTTCTCGCTCCTACGCTAAATGTGTGCATTTGGGGGCAGGGGGCACATCTAAATGTAAGTGGACTTGAGTTTTCAACCTGCCATGGGCATGTTTCCCTCTGGGTCTCAGTTTTGTCATCTGTAAAATGAAAGAAGGGGCTGCATTAGATGCCTCCTGAGATCCCTTCCAGCAGTAACATTCTGTGATTCTGTTCTGACTTGGGGGAGAGGCTGAAATTCCAATAGGACAAGGCCAGAACAGGACCCTCAGCTGGCGCCCCTTGTCCTTCCTCAGCCCTGCAGTCCCCATTCCTCTTCCCCCCTCTTCTATTTCCCTGCTTTCCCATCCTCACTGTCCTTGGTTGTCTTCAGTCCAGCAGAAGCAGGCCAGTCCCAGTGGATGGTGCCTGGGCTCTGCAGCCCAGGCGGCCACGTGTGGCTCTGTGACCTTGGATGAGTCATTCTTTTCTCTGATCCTCAGTTCCCTCATTTTGTTTTATTTTTTTGTTAATCCTCACCTGAGGATATTTTTTCATTGATTTTTAGGTAGAATGGAAGGGAGGGAGGGAAGGAGGGAGAGAGAGAGAGAGAGATACATCGACTGGTTGCCTTCTGTACAACCCCAACTGGGACCAGGGATCGAATCTGCAACCCAGGTGCCTTGACCAGAAATCAAACCCAAGACCCTTTAGTCTGTGGGGCGACGCTGTAACCACTGAACCAAACCAGCCAGGGTAGTTCCCTCATTTTAAAACAGGTCAAAACACAACTAGCAAGGTAGCAGGGAGATTAGAGAAACTTTCATTTAGTAATACTTTTGATGGCTTACTACATGCCAGGCCTCCTCCTTGGATCCCAGACAAACAGTGTGGAACCATACAAACCCAATCCCTGTCCTGGGAACAGTGACCTCTAATAGGGGGCTCTTCTAAGAATTTTCTCCTTTCTCAGGTCTTTTCCCGGCTCCCTTTTGTGCCTGGCCAGTCCTGGAGCTCCTGGAGCTCAGTTCTTCCATCTATAAAACAGAGAGACCCCACCCCCCTCCAAGTTTTATTGTGGTTTAAGAGACAAATAGAAATTGTATAATCTAAGGTATACAATTTGATGTTTTAATATACATATATACTGTGAAATGATAACAATCAAGCTATTTAACATATCCATTACTCCACATAGTTCCCTCTTTTTTTGTGTGGCAAGAACACTTAGATCTACCCTCTCAGCAGATTATAAGTACACCATACAGTATTGTTAACTACAGTCACCATGCACATTAGATCTCCAGAACTTCTTCATCCTGCGTAACTGAAACTTTGTTTTTTTATTCTCACCCGAGGACATTTTTGCATTTATCTTCAGATAGAGCGGGAGGGATAGAGGGAGGGAGAGAGAGAGAGAGAGAAACATCGATGTGAGAGACACATTGAGTGGTTGCCACCCCCCATCCTGGACCTGGGACAAATTGCAACCGAGGTACGTGCCCTTAGCGGGAACCGAACCCGGGTCTCTCTGGCCTGCGGGCCAATGCTCTAACCACAGAGCAAACCGGCAAGGGCATATAACTGAAACTTTGTATCCTTTAACCAACATCTCATTTTCCCCATCTCCCTACCATTGTCAACCATTATTCTACTCTGTGTTTCTATGAGTTGGACCTTTTTAGGGTCCACACATATCAATGGGATCATGCAGTTTTTAACTTTCTGTGTCTGGCTTATTTCACTTAGCATAATGCCCTCCAGGTTCATCCATGTTGTCATATATGGAAAGATTTCCTTCTTTTTTAAGGCTGAATAATATTTCATTGTATGCATACACCACAAAAATACGGAGATTCTTGTCTGCACCCCTGCCCTTCCTAGTGCAGGTGATAAAGTACCCATAAAACTTCCAAAATTGAAGGGAAGGCTTAGTGAGGAGGGCTTGGAAGACACCCTTTCCCTGGTAACTGTTTCTCTCTGCCTCTACTCCACAGCTCTCTGTGGCTAACAAGGCCCCTGGGACCGAGGGGCAGCAGCAGGCAAATGGTGAGAAGGAGGCTCCAGCAGTGCCCTCGGCCCCGCCCTCCTACGAGGAGGCCACCTCTGGAGAGGGGGTGAAGGCAGGGGCCTTCCCTCCGGCCCCTTCAGCTGTGCCTCTCCACCCCAGCTGGGCCTATGTGGACCCGAGTAAGTCTCTCAGCTCCTGGAGGCTAGAGCATCACGGGCAGAGGTGGGCTCACATGGAAACCAGGGTAGGAGGAAGTTGTCCAGAAATAGCTGCACTATATGATTGTTGTATGAGGCTCTGCTGTCAAAGGCTTGGGATTTGGAGGACTGTTCTGAGGGTAGGTCAAGGAGGATTCCATAAAAAGGAAGATGTACAGTATCTGTAGTCAGAGTGCTCTTGGATGGAGACAAAGGAATTTTTCAGCTCACCATGCTAGGGATGAGGGGCCAGATGCAGGGAGGAACACAGGAGCTAGTCTAGAAAGGCTCTCCTAGGAGAAAGAGATACAGAAAAGGAATGAGGAGAGGACAAAGTGGGTGCAGGAAGGGGCAGTACGATGCTGCGCTGGCCATTGCCATAGCTGGGGCTGGTCCTCATGGGGGTGGTGGTGAAGCATGTTTACTTGTTAGTTGATACAAAACCCTAGTGGGGACACATCACCATGGAGACCCCGGGAGTGTTGGGGGCCAGAAGCCTGAGCATTCACTGCACCCATCACTCTCCTGTCCCTCTTCCCTTCCCCAGGCCATTGTTGGAGGCATGGTATGGGAAGGTGTGTGGGTGTCAGCCTCAGTGTTCCTCACATCCAGGCATAATTCACAGGCATATTCACCCAGGCTGATGCCATTTTCTTGCAGAACCAGAATTGTAGCCAGTGGGAGCAGCTTTGTTAAGCTGAGCGTCCTGTGGGAGCTTTGCCTTGGGGCTAGAAACATATGGCTCCCACAAGCTGTAAGGAAGGGCCCCTCTCAAATCTTCCTCAGCCCCTTCAGCCTGCTCAGCAACCTCTCAACCCCTCCCCCCACCTGCTCAACTCCTGCCCCCACCCCCAGCAGAATTCTAGAAGGGATCCCAGGAACAATGCCCCAGATAGCCTCTGATCACAAGGAGTGGTCACCATGGTCCACACTGCTCACCACAAAACCTCTCCTCCTAGACCCAAGCACCCCTACACCACCGTGGCCAGCTGGACGGTCAATGAAGGTCTGGTATTTGTGGGAGCCCTTCTCACTGCCTCAGACACCCACAGGACTGCTTTCTCTTTTTTTCTCCCCATCCGTGGCCTGGCTATTTGGACCTTGGTGGGGTGGATGCAGACAGAAAGAACATGACGAAGAAGTGAAGGATAAGAGAGTGAGGGTCTCCAGGCCCCAGGTCTCCAGGTCCCAGGTCTCTCCCTCTTCCTCTTTGCCCATATCCTGGTTGCCAGGACTGGCTGCCTTAAAGAATGTTTTCAAGGCACTGTCAGGACAGGAAGGCAAGTCATTTCAGTCAACATGTGACAAAGATTAACTGAGCATGTGCCAGGCACTGTGTCTGGCACTGAGCTCATTTCTGAGGATGCATCGATTTGCAAGACCTGCCCTCACAGAGCTGACTGTGCAGACAAGTAAACAAACAACTACCACACAGTGAAGCAGATGCTGTGGTAGCGGCCTGGGCAGCTCACCCGACCTGCCTGACAGTCAGGGAAGACTTCCTTGAGCCCTGGAGGATGGAGGATGGCATGAGTTATCCTGGTACCGAGACGGGGAAATGAGTGTTCAAGGCTGAAAGAATGGAACATGCAGAGGCCTAGTAGCAAGAGAACACATGGCCGAAAAAATAGGCTGAAGAAAAGTAGGAGGCAGTAATGTACAGTGGAGCTGGGAGGGCTCGTGGGAGGAGGCTGTGGAGGCTTTAAGGAACTTGAACTTGAGGAAAAAGCAATGGGGAGCTATCGGAGAGCTAGAAGTAGGACTGTGCCGTGGTCAGTTTTGAAAGACCAAGACCGAGGCTCTTACTGTGGAGAGGAAGGACGTGGGGAGCTGGCGGAGGCAATGAAGGAGAACAGAGTGCACCCATGTGAGGCCTCAGGAATGGCCCAGACAAGGGGTACAAGGAAGAGGGCAGTGTAGTCCCCGTAAGGCACAGAGAGCCATAGGCTTTCACTTTTATCTTGTTTCATCCCCATGAGGTGGGTTCAGAGATGAGACTTGGAGAAGGCTGGTCATTTGCCTAAGGTCACACAGCCGGTCAGTCTTAGAGGAGGAGCCACCTAGGGGTCTGTTTGACTGTGGAGCCCGTGCTCTTCTGAAAACCTGGTTCTGGGGCCAGCCCGCAAAACTTCATCCCCTCCCACACCCCACTTTCTTGCCCTGTCCTGGCTTCATTTCCCCTCCAGTCTTCCTTCAGCCCTGGTTCCCAGCTGGAGCACCGGAAGGTTCACCCATCCAACTGGTCCCAGTTCCCACCCCAAGGGCCTCAGAGAAAGCTGGGACCAGGACCTCTGACCCTGGGATATGCTAGGTAGTCCTGGGATTATGTCTGTCCCTTCTGATTTTTGCCATAGGAAGTCCAAATGTCCAGGGAGGAGGTGGGGGACACAGAGGGAAAGGTTGCATTTGTATGGCAGAGCTTAGTCCCCAGCCAGGGTGGAGGGAAGGGGAAGGGAGATGGCAGTTCATTCTCAGGATTCAGAACGAGAAAGATGAGAAGCAAGTGGGGAGAGAGATCTGGAGATGGAGTGCAAGGTTTGAAAATGGGGCTGGAGAGAGTCAGTTTGCCCAAAGGCAGCTCCGAGCAGGTGGCCGCTGGGGCAGTGTGTATACACACTGGTGCACTCGCTCTGGCCCTCCCCCTGCCCATCCAGGCAGCAGCTCCAGCTATGAGAGCGGCTTCCCCACAGGTGACCATGAGCTCTTTACCACCTTCAGTTGGGATGACCAGAAAGTTCGCCGAGTCTTCATCAGAAAGGTAACTGCCTCTCCCCAACACTCCAGGACTGGGGTCTGGGTGTGGGGATCCCCTTGAAAAGCCCCTGGCCCAGCCCTGTGCCTGAGAGGCCAGTCTCTCCTCTTGCGATGCCAGTGACACCAGCTTCCCCAGATTTCACTCCATTGCCCCCCTGCCACTCCGAAACACCTCCCTCTTCTCTCCAGATACTGGGAGGCCTCTTTGCCTATGGGACATCTTTACTCCCCTTTTACTTTGCCCTAAATCTGTTCAAGTGACCCTCAAGAAGGAGGGTGGAGGGCACAGGCTGCAGGACTAGAGAGGAGATTGAGTCACAGGGAAGCTGGGGCCTCCCTGAGCTTCGCTGGGGACCTGAGCCTCCCTGGCCTCAAACAAGGACCCCTCTTCCTTCCCCAGGTCTATACTATCCTGCTGATCCAGCTGCTGATGACCTTGGGTGTCGTGGCTCTCTTTACCTTCTGGTGAGTTGGCATTTTAGACCAGCACCTTTGGGAGGGGACCCAGAACCAGACTTCTCTTGGAATGTTTGCCTGAAGAGATTTGTGTGGGGCAGTGGACCCCCTCATGTGGGGGAGAACCTTGGAGAGTGCACACGCAGGAGTTCTCCGTCCAGTGAGGTGGACCTGGTGCCTTCCAGGTCTCTCTCAGATCCTCTAGTCCCATACCAGGCACTTCTGCTTTCTAAGCCACCAGGGTGTGTGACTCCTTTTCTTTCTCTCAAATCCTGTAAACTGGGGGGGGGGGGGGGGGGGGGGGGGGGGGGCGGTGCAGGTGCAGATGTTGAACCAGAAATAGAGATAGAGGATAAATTTTTGTTCTTTCTCCCTCTCTTCTCTGCAGTGATCCCATTAAGGACTATGTCCAGGCTAACCCAGGCTGGTACTGGGCATCCTAGTGAGTATGTCCCAGGCCCCCAGGCCCCTTCCCAGAGAATCCTCAGCGGCACAGGGTGGGAAATTTCTGTTGATGGAACGCAAACTCATGGCCTATCCCTACCCCCAGGAATTGTTCTCACAAGTGCGAGTTCAGAAGAACCCTTCTGAGGTCTTAGAGGGAGGGGAGGAGGTGGGTGTGGGTTCTCGTGCCTGCACAAGGAGGGAAGGGTGGGGCGGGAGCCATGGCTGGAGAGACTCAGTTTTTGGCCCTGAAGGGAAGGGGGAGTGTGGCTCACACTAATAATAATGTTGCTACTCTTATTACATTGTTACTAATGCTTACTAATTGAATCATTACTTATAGAGTGCCTAATAAGGGCTGGGCATTGTTCTGTGTGCTTGATATATGGTATTGAATTCATTCCTCAAATTTACAAGGTATAATTACCTCAGAAAACTAAGGCCCAGAGAGGTTGAGTAATATGTTCAAGGTCACAAAGCTATTTAGTGATGGAGCTGGGATCCAGAATTCAGGTTGTGGCTTGTGCTCTTAACCCCTCTGTTTGGCAGACTTCCTTCCTCTGGAGCCACTCAGCTCCGGGTTGTTCTATACTCTTTAAGGAATGTGGCAGGTAACTTGAAAGAAGAGATTTGTAGGCGATTCTGACCCTCCTATCTGGGCAATAAAGGGGGTCATCCTGAACAATTCTGCTCTCACCAAAGTCTCCTTCAGCACCTACTATGAGCCCAGCCTGTACTGGGGCTGCTGGGGAGGAGGCCTCTGCAGGGGGAGGTAGTGGGAGGCATAAGGCAGCACGTGAAAAACCGGCGTTCAGAGGAGGGGACGCGGGAAGTTGTGAGCCCAGTACACCAAGCCCTCAGTGCTCATCAGGGCTGGACCTCAAAGGCTGGAGACAAGTGGCTCAAGGTGCAGCATGGCAGTGGACTGCACTGGTACATTTGGGAAATTAGGACCAGGCTGTCAGAGGGCCAGAGACTCCACGTAGGGGAATCCAGGATATCTCTGAGAACGGGCTGAGGGGGCAGAGGCTCTGAATGCCTGGCCAAGAAGCTTGCGCACTAGGGCTCCCAGGCCTGTTCCCGGAAAGGGATTAGGTGGGGATGTGGGCTCAGCTCAAAGCCTGCTGGGCCATCCAAGCCCAGAACAGTCCCAGAGTGGGCCCAGAGCTTATACAAGCTCATGGGAATGAGACTCCTTCTGGCCTCTGGGGCTTCTCAGAGGAGCAGAGAAGTGAATGGATGTCTCGGTCAAGTTGGAGGTCCCAGGGGAGGAGATACTCACACCCAGAGCCTTTCTTAGGGCACAGGAGAAAGGGCCTGTCTGCACACCAGGCAGGAGGCAGGCGTCTTGGGGAACTGGGAGGCACTGTGTGGTAAAACTAATGGGACCCCAGGGACTGCCCCCGGGCCAGCTCACGCAGCAGGTTGGCATGGCTCCCAGCACGTCAGCACTGCCTGGCAGCTTCAGGTGTCCTGAGAACTCAGGAATGGAGTCCCCAGGCCCTTTGCCAGGCCTTCTGTGAGAGGGTTTGTAGGACACTGTGTCCTGAGCAGATGGCAGGGGGACAGCCCAGAAATGAGCAGGCTCGGAAGTGGAGGCAGAGCCCACCCCACGGAGAATGGGCATGAGTATCTGGCCTCTGCATGGTGAGCTTTATTAATGCCCCTCCTCAACATCTCACGGCAGAAAACAGAGATGCTCTCCCTGGCTCAGGGGCGGAAGGGGTGGAGAGAAATAGGAAGTGGGCATGGACCATGTGCTTTCCATGGGGTGTCACAAAGCCTTCAGGATGTTTCAGAAATCCACCACCATGATGCTGCCCTTTTCTCCAGAAAAGCAGCCTGTGGCTCTGCCCTGCCCTGCCTCCTCCTCATCCTTTCCCACCATTCACCCTGCCCCCTGAGTCGGCCTCCTGGCCTGAGACTTAGTGGTCTCACTTTCTCCAACATACTAATCCCTTAACAGCAATAAGAGTAAAACAGCTCTTTTTTAAGTGTGTGAGGCACTGTGCTAAGTACTTTATAGATATTTTCATTTGACTCTTACCCCATCCCTACCAAGGCAGATAGTATTGTCATCTGCATTTTACAGATGAGGAAATTGAGGCTCAGAGAGAAGTTACTGCTTCTGAAGCAGCATAGCCACGGTTTTCCACGGGCACATGCGTGCATTTCCCTCAGTGCTCTGCGGCCACCCCTGGCTCAGGGCTCCTAGAGCGGACACGGGACGGACCACACTGGTCTCAGATGCTGGCCTGCACCTGGGCCTCGTTCCTCTGTCCTGACACTCTGTAAACAGAACATGGCTCCAGTCCAGGCCCTGGGGCCCAGGCTCTGGCACACAAGTCAGTCTTTCTCTCACTTCTGCTATGGCTCATTTTCTGTGCCCTGAGATGGCAGCCTTCCAGCACTCCCTGCCCCCTCCCCAGCCACAGCTTTCTGGAGTTCCTAGTCATCTCCCTCAGGGAGCTCTTGCCTTATTGTCTGATTGCTCCCTCTGAGCCATGGCAGTGGGAACTATGGGCCTCCCTGCAGTGGAGTAAGTAAGGGCTGCGGGGTGGGGGTGGGGGAACCAGGCAGAAGAGGAAAATGCAGAGACCAGAGCTTGGGTGGGGAGGCTCAGAGCCTCTCCAACACATTGTCAGTCCTTACAATAATAACAACTTCCATCCTCAATTCCTTACTTGTGCCAGGCCCAGTGCTAAATGTTTGCCATACATTCTCTCATTCAATCCTCTTTGCAGCCCAGAGAGTTGGTACTAATATTCCTGTTTCCAAAGGAGGAAATGGGGGCTCCGCAATTAAGTAACTTGTTCAAGGTCACGTGATAACAGTGGCAGAGCTGGGATGTGAATGTGAGTATCAGGCTCCAGGGCTGTGCCACGACCCCCAGGTTGTCAGTCCCTCTGCCATTCTTCCTGAACACTTGTCTTGAGGGTTGAGGAGCTATGGAGAGAAAAGGGACTGGGCCCTTGCCTTCAGGGGGCTTCCATTCTGGCCAGAGGGACAGGACCCACACCCAGGACACACATAGACAAGGCGTAATTGTTGTTGAAGCAACTGACTAATGACTGAAGCAAGTCCCAAAGCGAGCAGATGCTGGGGTGTTTCTCAACAAGGGCAGAAAACTTTCCTCCTTCATGGAGCAGGATGTTCAGCAGCCCTGGCCCTGGTGCTGAGAACCTCCCAGTCATGTGACAACAGTTCCACATCATTTGAGAACCACTGCAGGACAAGAAAGGGTAAAGATGAAGGGCTCCTGTTCACCAAATCCAATAGGCTTATCTCAACCCTCCATTCCCTGTGCTTCTGCATTTCATCCAGAAATGTTTAAAGGTCACCTAACCAGTATAAATACAAAACGAGTAGGTCACAGACTCGTCCCCCAGGTACTACACCTGGGAGTCAGATGAGCAGGCTCGTGGGATATGGGGGTGCAGGCTTCAGCTGAGGTATGCCCATGGTGCACGGAGGAAGCCTCTCCAACCCAGACCTCAGCCATCCTTGCCAGTCGGTCCTTTCTAGCAGAAGCAGAGTGTGAGGTGCGGAGGGAAGGGGAGGAGTGTGGTGAGGGATGGGCTGGAGAGGGAGGCAGGGGTGGATCATGCAGGGCATTGCCAGGTCTTTGGAACTTTTAAACAGCGGAGTCCCATGATAGGCTCTGCTGGTAGCTTGGAGGGTGGAAGGCAGGGCTGGAGGCAGGGGGACCAGAGGGAGAGAGGTGCCCACCCAGAGGGGTGGTAGTGGGGATGGAGAGAACAGATTTGAGAGCTGCCTGGGTAGGAGGATCAGCGGGTCCAGGTGATTCCTGAGGCATGGCAGTGAGAGTTAAGGATGATGCTGAAGCCTCTGGCTGGGTAACTTGGAGGGTGCCTGTCTTCTGCAATGGGGATGCTGGAGAAGAGCAGGGAAGAGGAAGAGTTCAGATCTAACCTGCTGAGTTTGGTATGTTTCTGAGTAGCCATGTCTGTCCAGCGAGCAGTTGGATATTAATGTCTTAGGTTGAGAAGGAAAATCTAGATCAGAAACGTAAGTGTGTGAGTCATGAGCTTTTGCCTGATAAAGGAAGGCCTGTGGATGAGTGAGCCCACCCAGGAAGAGCCCACCCAGGAGACTTACCCCACAAGATCTGTGCATGGAAGAAGGAGGCATATTTAGAGACACTCTGAAGGAGACTGAGGAGTGGTCAGGGAGGTGAGAGGGGAACCAGAGTGTATTATTGTGGAACCAGGAAACAATGCTGAGAGCAGATGTTGTGGAGAAGTCGGAAGATGCAGACTGACAGGTGTCAGTTGGACTCAACAAGGTCATAGTGACATGGCCAAGCCAGCTCTCATTAAGTGAAGCTGGGGTTGGGTTTGTTGCATGGGGGAGCGGTGTTGGGAGATGGAGAAGAAGACAGTGCGTGGAGGGAACTTTTTCAAGAAGCTTGGCTGTGAGTTGGCTAAGGTGGCAGTAGCTAGATCCTTGGAGATGCTGATTAAAGATGGAAAACATCTGAGAAGGTTAATGTGAGCAGAGGCAGCAGTAGGAAGGTGGAAAAGAGATGGCAGGCGGTTGAGGGTGTGGGACCCCGAGCCCAGGCCAGGGGCATTGGCCTGGGATGGGAAGAGGGACAGGGAGAGGGCACATAGATGCAGGACATGATGATTGCAAGTGGCAGGCAGGGAGCCAAGGGAGCCCCAACTCAGCTCAAATCTTTCTGGGACACATCAGGCCAGATCATGCAGGAGAGTGAGGGAGCCTGGGAGCTTTGGGGCTGGGGAGGATGGTTGGAATTGCTGCTGTGGAGGATGACTGAGAGAACCGAGGAGGCAGATGGGGAAGGATGGCAGGCGCCATGCTGAGAGCCTTCTGGGCGCTGGAGACCATGCATTGGTGGTGGCACCAATCGAGGTAGGTGTGAGCTCACCCCACCCTTGGGTGCTCAGCACTCTTCTCCTACTGCCTGGACTGGCCTTCACTTCCACTGCTCTCCAGAAAATGCTCAGTCCTCAGTCCCCATCTCTGGGTTGTGCCTGAGCTCCTGCTAGTCTCCTGTTGGACATAGCCACCTGTTCCAGAAACCCATGCCACAAGTACTTCCTGTTTGTGCCAGGCACTGGCAGGACAGACAGGAGCTCTGCCCCTGCCCCTGCTGGTAGGGTAGACCAACAATAAAGTAACCAACAAGATCTGTATGGAGAGTGCCAGGTCTGGGAAGGGCCTGAAGGAGGCAGTGTGGGGTTGGCACTCTGGAGTCAGAGCACCCGGGTTCTAATCCTGCCTTTGCCACATGGTAGCTGCATGACCTTGGACAAGTCACCTGACCTCACTGTACATCATCTGTTAAGTGAAAAGCATGCTTTGTAGAGATGTGAGGACTGCCTGGCTGGTGTGGCTCAGTGGATTGAGTGTCGTCCCATGAACTCAGAGGTCCTGATTCAACTCCCGATCAGGGCACATGCATGGGTTGTGGGCTCCATCCCCAGTAGGGGGTGTGCAGGAGGCAGCCAATCAATGTTTCTCTCTTACATCGTTGTTTCTATCTCTCTTTCCCTTCCTCTCTCTAAAAAAAAAAAAATCAATAAAACATATTTTTAAAAAAGAGATGTGAGAATTGCATTAGTTAATATTCATAAAGCATGTAGCACTCTGCCTAGCACATAGAAAATGAGCTTTTCCTTCAAAATAATTAGATAGTGTCCCGGGAGGCCACTTTGAATTGATTGGGTGGGTGCTCAGCTGTCCCATGGCACCCAAGTATTTCTAGAAGTAGGCTCTTCCTATTCTCCTTCCTCTCTTTTAGAATTGGACCACCACCCTGCCCTTGCTAAGCTCTAGGGTGATTATAGCCTTGCCCCAGGCCCCATCACCCTGCCTAGTGCCCTGTGGGATGAGCCGGGCACAGGATGGAGAGGCCTCGGGGGACCTGCTAACTCGCCACCCACTTGTCTTCCACAGCATTGTATTCTTTGTGACCTACCTGACCCTGGCCTGCTGTTCCGGACCTAGGTATGATGATGGCTGGAGGAGCAACTTGTGGGAATATGAGCAGGAACTTGGACATTCTGGCCCCAGTCCTACCTGCCACCAGTGTGCTGTGCACCCCGAAGAGGGCCCCATCCCTCTCTGGGCTCCATCATGTAGGCCTGCCCCTCCTTCCTTTACTCTGAAGTAGGAGGAGGGTGGACAGACAGATAGGGGCACATGGTTAAGTGGCTAAAGAAAGGCTCCAAAAAGTGAGTTGGGCAGAGATCCCCCTCCCTGTAGGGGTGACTCAGCCTGTAGCTGCTGGCACCCCCCACACTCCTCTGAACGCAGCGGCTTGCCTTACAGGAGATATTTCCCCTGGAACCTGATTCTCCTGACCATCTTCGTAAGTGATCTGGGGTGGCTGAGGACAGATGCTGAGTGGATGGAGGGAGGAGGGAAGGAGGGTGGGTGTCAAGGGCCAGGAAGTCTAAGTTGGGTATGTCTAAAGTGAGGTCACTGGGGGAGAGGGGTACTTTCACTCCACTTCTTTAAAAAAAAATTTTTAATTTATCTTTATTATTTAAAATATTATAGCTCTCCCTCCCTTTTCCCCCAATTGAACCCCTCCACCCTGCTCCCGTCCTCCCGGTCTTCATCACACCTTTGTCTGTATCCAGTCACCCCACTTCTTTCACAAAGACATCCCACCCTCTCCCCCCCACCCCGACTTCCATCCACTTTTTATTGTGATTTTTATTGTGATTTTGTTTTTAAGAGGTTTGCATGGGGTATCCAAGAGCTATGATAGTGAGAGTGGGGGTCTTGGGAAGGGGGGCAGAGCAGGGCTGCAAATGGAAGAACAGCGGAGCTGGTGTGAGGCCTTGTGGACGCTGCCTTCAGACCCAGCTCCGAGAAGTAAATGTGTGTGTGAGCGAAGCCGACTCAGAGTTGAAGGGCCTGTCAGGGTGGAGACCCAGGCTGGACCTTGAAAGTGTCTGGACTCCAAAGTCTGAGTCCTGGAGCATTTCTGCTTTTCCTTTCAGACCTTGTCCATGGCCTACCTCACCGGGATGTTGTCCAGGTAAAGGGGACAGGTAGTAGGGGAGGGGGCCTTACGGGGTCATAGGCCAGGCTTAGAGCCAGGGACTCACCAAACTCCATCCTCCTGGGAGCATTTGAATGAGGGAGGGGATCCAGGCAGGCAGGAAACATTGGCCTAGAACCCTCTCCCCATACACTCTGCTGGACAGTGCGTCTAAGATCTGGCAAGGTTGGTGGGGTGGGATGGGAGATAGAGGAGACCAAGGTGAGTACTGTGAGGCTGCAGCTAGAAGCCCTGCTGGAAACTGACCCCTGGGCTGTGCTCCTGCAGTTACTACAACACCACCTCTGTGCTGCTGTGCTTGAGCATCACGGCCCTCGTCTGCTTCTCTGTCACCGTCTTCAGCTTCCAGACCAAGGTCAGCTCTGGGGCCTGTGGACAGGGAGCTTGAGTGGGGCCTCTAAGCTTCGATCCCTAGCTGGTGAGAGATAAAGGGGGGTCAGCTGGGTCTGAGAGGCCACCTGGAAGAGGTGATGGGGAAGGAATGCTGGGTTCTGGGGTGAGCACTGGATGGTGGTCTACTGTATGGGCCTCACCCTGGCACTGACCCCTCCTCATCCTTGCAGTTTGACTTCACCTCCTGCCAGGGTGTGCTCTTCGTGCTGCTCATGACGCTCTTCTTCAGTGGACTCATCCTGGCCATTCTCCTGCCCTTTCAATACGTGAGTCTGGGGGCTCCCAGCAGGCCCCATGGGGAGGGAGAGGGGCCTGCCAGCCAGAGGTTGCTGTTTCCTCCCACACCCTCCAGGGAGGGCCCAGAGCCAAAGGCTCACAGCCTGCCATTCTGTCCAGCCCCTCCTGGCACCTGCCCTGGGTTTGTTGGCAGTGTAAGCACACCAACAAGGAGGACTTTCTTAGCAGGCCTGGGCACCTGCCTGCTCCATGAGCCACATCCGGCTTCACCTTTCTCATCCTCCCCTTTAGGAGGAGGTGTGGCTAGTGGGGAGTGTGCCACGGAGCAGTTACATTTTTTCAGGGAAGGGAGCTCTGGAACTCCATGGGGCCACCAGACCCAGAGGGGTCCTGAAGAAGGGCCTCTTGGGGCTCCTGGGGATCAGCCAAGTCCACAGGGGCAGACTCTGAGCAGCCAGGCAGGTGGGGGTTATGACAGTTGGCCCTGAGCCTACCTCCACCCCTGGAGCATCCATAGGCCAGCCAGATCTCAGCTATTTTACAAGTGTCCAGTCTGCCCTGGGAAATCCAGCTAGGACTTCCCAGGGCTCAGTGACCCATTTTAGGTACTGAGGCCTCTGCAGATGGAAAGGGGTGCAGATTGAGGGCATCACAGGAGGATCTGAGGTTCTGATCCTGGGAACCTGAGAGATAAAGCTAAATTATTGGCCCTTGTTGGAGGCTCCATGCTCATACCTGCCCCTGCCCCCCTTGGCATTTGGTCAGCCCCCACCTCTTTCCTGCCAGGTTGGGAGCAGCATTCCTGGGCCCCATTTCCCCAGCCCCTCAAGCTCAGCCCCAGCCCCCAAGGTGTTGTTCCCAGTCCAGGACAGCTGGATTGGTACTGGGACTTCCTTGGCACTTCCCGGATCCGGTTAGTGAAGGGAGGGGCCTGAGCTGGCCTGGGGCCCTCTATGTATCTAGGATAGGGGAGTACAGGGAGGGGCCCCAGAGCTTCAAAGAGCCCTTTATTGATCCAAGTCAGGCTGCTGGGATGCCTGTGCTTCCAGGAATCTTCTAAGGGAAGGCCCTACAGAGGGCGCAGATAATGGGGTACCTCTTACAGGGTTTCCACAGGGTTTCCGCACGTACCCCTGTGACCTGGGGGGCTGAGACTGGGAAGAAGGCTGCCCCAGCCTCTGCACAGCTGGCAGGAATTCCAGATGAACCCCACCTTCCCCTGGGGGCAAGTCTTGGTCCCCTTCCACCTGAGCCTCTTACCCGTACAGGTAGAGCCTGGGAACTCCCCACAGAGGGACAGGCAGACCCTGTACAGAAAAAGGAGGAAGGAGCAGCCTCAGGCCAACCCCAGGCTGGGAAAATGACAGGACCCCAACAAGGCCCACTCTGATGCTGCCTGAGCCTGGGGCTGTGTGGCAGGAACAAGTGCCAGTCAGGTTGGGCGCTCCCTGCCAGGCCCTCCGTGATCACTGTTATCCTGGGCTTCCCCCACCCACCCTGAACACACAGAGAATCAGGGATCTCTGTTGGGGACCTGGAACTTCTTAGGGATTTCTGGGGAAGGTGGTGGGAGTGAGGAATTCTCTGGACTGAGCCCCCATCCCTGCCTGTCTGCCCCACTGTCCGGTCTGCCATTCCCTAAGCCGTTCTGCATCTGCCCTGTAGGTGCCCTGGCTCCACGCAGTGTATGCGGCGCTGGGAGCAGGCGTATTTACATTGGTAAGTGTGGCTCCCGAGGGGCCCCTCCTACTCAGCCTCTGATCATCTCCCCAGGCCCTCCACCATCTCTGCCTTCCTCACAGTCCTCCTCTCCGAACCCTGTGAAGCATCTGGGGCAGGGCAGGGCTCAGTGCTGAGGTCTAGGAATTCTCTCTGGTCTCCAAGACAGACCAGCTGATCTGGGCAGAGCAGGGAGGAAGATTGTAACAACAGGACTGAAGCTTTAGACAGAGCTGGGAAGAGGTACCCCTCATTCCTGGGAACGGACAACCAGTGCTGCTCGTGGGGTGGGAGAGTGAAGGTGTTCTGGCCACATGGACTGTTACTTGTTGCTCTCCTAGGGGTCATCTGGAAAGGCTTCTAGGGGCAAAGGAGATTCCAAGTGCCCTGTGAGAGAACACTTAGATTGAGCTTGTTCTTGACTGTTCCCACCCAACTTGGAGTGTTGATGGCAGTGATTGTGATCCGATAACAATAACAGCGAGCACTTACTGAGCACTTGCTCTGTTCTCCTCTGAAAGCTCTCCATGCGCACTTCATCCTCACCATAACTACAAAATAGGTTCTGTTGTTATCAAATTAAGATGAGGAACCCGAAGCTCAGAGAGGTTAAATAACTTATCCAAGGTCATCCAGCATGTCAGGAAATGGTAAGGCCAGGCTGAAAACTGATAGTCTGGCCCCAGAGCCCCACTGGCTAGCTGGGAAAAGGAGCAGGTGGCTGGAAGCAGATGCCCAGGGGACAGAAGGTGACCAGGCAGGCATCCACTTGGAGCACCCAACACAGACCTTTTGCTCAGATGGGCTCCAAACATGAATGTGTTGGTGCTGCAGGATCCACCCAGGGGGATAAGCCCATGTGGGTGACATCTCTTGGGGGGGGGGGGTCCAGGGTAAACATCTGCTGCCAGCAGGAGCAGTCACCAGACTCCCCTCCCTCATTGGAGTGTTCAATTCAACTCAGTCTGGCCAGAGTTCTGGGCTTAGCCACAGGTTCCAGAGGCTTGTGGGTGATAGATTGGAGAAGCAGAAATGGGGGGTTAAGGAAGTCAGATCTATGAGCAGACGTTTTGGATTGAGATCAAACCAGGAATGGGGGTGTGGTCAGCTCATTCATTCATTCCCACAAGTCTTTATTGAGCACTTACTCCGTGTGAGGTGCTGTGCCGTGTGCCCAGGATGCCACAGTCAACAGGAAGAGCACAGAGTGTGGCACATGGCGGCACTCAGTGAATATCCATGGAATGAGTAAATGACCTCCAGGCTCAGAACTTGAGGATTGGAAGAGACTAAAAGGGGATCTAGTGAAACTCCGAGCCCTTCCTTTTACAGATGAGAACATTGAACCCTAAAGAAGTTAAGGGACTTGTCCCAGGTTTCCTGGCAAGATGATGGCATATTAACTAGGTGTGGCCTTGGTCAGCTTATCCCAGTTTACCCAGAACTTTCTCCGTTTTAGCACTGAAAGACCCACTTCTTGGGCGACCTTGTAAATCTTGGGCAAACCAGGGTGGTTGGTCGCCCTAAGACACTAACTTCTCTTGGCTCCTGGACCAGCGCACTTTCCTCCCGGCAGTAGGTGCTAAAGACAAGTTTAGACTAGGAGGATGGGGTGGGGAATCTGCAGGGAGGAGAGGAAGAGGGAGGGTCACACCAGAAGGAGAGAGCCTGCTGGGCCTGAGAGGGTAGCCAGGGTTTGCCAAAGATGAATGGAAGAAGAGGGGTCAGTGCAGGGCAGAGTGCAGGAGGGCGAACATGATGGGTAGAGGAGAGTTGGGGAGTTCACTTGGCTCATGTGGATCAGGTTACAACAAGGGTGTGGGCTACATGGGAGGCTGTCGGTACCAGTAGGGCCAGATGAACAATAATCTCTTAAATTTGTTTAATAATCCCTTGTGCTATTAGACTCGTAAAAATAACTCCAACCAGCTGTTCTACCCTTTACCTTTTAACAAAGCACTTTCACACTTATTACCTCATTGAATTTTCCCCTCAACCCAGGGAGAAAGGCAGTGCTGATGTTATAAGACCCGATTTCCACATCTGAAGCTCTGGGTGTTGAAGGGCTGGTACAGAGTCCCACTGCCAGCAATAGGCAGATTTAGGACTGGACCCAGGTGTCCTGTGCCCAGCCTGGTGCCATTTCCAGTGCCCTGTGGTCCTCCTCAAAGAGGACAACTCCTATTGTCTTGGAGTTGGGGGAGGCTAGGAGGTCTCTACAGTAACTGTCCCCCCAACCTTGCATCATCATTTCCCTCTCTATTGGATCGTTCCCATCACCATAGAAACTCACACACACACACACACACACACACACACACACACACTGCTCCCTACTCCTCACCCTGCTTTATTTCTCTCCATAGCACTTCTCATCCTGACAGACTCAATATTTTTTTATTTGTTTCTCATTTGTCTTCTTCCAACATAATGTAAATTCCTCGATGGCAGGGACTTGTGTCCGGCTTGTTTATCACTGCATCCCCAATGCCTAGAAGAGTGCCTGGCACATAGTAGGTGCCCCTTGATGCTGTGGGAGGCATGGCTGAGGTGCTGCTGTCAGTGGGCAAAGAAAGCGGCTGTAGGGTTCACTAAGTGCTGCATCCATCTTTTGTGAGTCACAGGGGAGGAGGAATCTCGGCACCTAATTAATTACCATTAATGTCTCATTGGGAGACCAACACACCAAAAGGCCCTGGTTATGTAAACAATGGACAGGAGCAGGTGACGTGTCCCCCTGCTCCTTGCCCTGCCCTCAGTTCACTTGGGTTAAAGGAGAGATGTACAGCAGGTCCCTTGGGACCCGTGGGGTAGGTGGAAGGTGATGGGAGAACTACTGGACTTGTTCCCCTCCCTGCCCTCAGTTTCAAGTGGGCAGAGACCCTCAGAGGCCCAGCCCCACAAGAACTGAGTTCCTGGGACTTTCCATTAACCCTCAACTCAGAAAGTCCTTGACCTCAATCTGACCCTCTGTCTAGCTTCAGTTCTGTCCTGTGGAATCTGTGGTCACCTAGCTCCAACCCATCCCCAGAACCAGTGCCCAGCACCCTGCTCTCTCCCGCTGCTCATCCTGGCATCCCCTACCTTCGGGTGGGAAGTTCTCAGCTCCGTGAGGGGCCCTCCCTGCACCACAGCTAGAAAAATGACAAGATAGCACTTAACACGCCCTTGCCCTGCTCACTGCCTCAGGGAGCATGTGTGAGGAAGGAGTGAAGAGAAGTGTCAAGGGGAAGACCAGACCCCCGGTGAGAACCAAGCCCCCACTCCACCAGCCTGAGTCTTGGACGAGCTTTGAGAGTCAGATGATTCTCTCTCCTAGAGATCGCAGCCCCTCCCCTGAAAGACTGCCATTTCTGAGGGCAGGGCTGTCCAGCTGGACTAGACTGAGACTGGGGGGTTGGGAGCCCAGGTTTCTAGAGTCCTGATTCAGCCTTGAGGAACAGGCCCCTCATGGGCTTCACCCCATCTAGCTTTGGTGAATTCTCAAGAGGCTTGGGTTTTCTGCCTCACCCCACCCCATACCCTCTGGGCGCCAGACCCAAATGCCAGTAGAAGTGGGTGAGTCAGCCAAAAGGTACTGACCTCAGGGTGGCCCCATCCTCCTCTCCCCTCTAGTGCCCTCTCGGGTACTTTTGTATAGAAGCTCATGGAAAGTCAGGTGGGGGAACTTGAGGGCTGGGCTGGGCTGGGGGGAATAGAGCAGGAGGCTAGGGAGAGGAGAGAGAACAGGTGGGGCTGGGGGCCTGGCCAGAGGTTTCTGGCTGTGGCTGAGTCTCCATGCTCATGTGACTTTGGGGACGCCCAAAAACTATGTAGGATCTCCAGCCACCTAAATTGGAGGCCAAGCCCAGAAGTCTAAAGGAGAAACTAGGCATAGGATTTTAGAAATTAGGTGATGAGCCCAATGGGACTAGAACTCTGTCTACCTGCCCACCCGGCCAGTTTGAGGGCCTTGGGAAACATCCTGGCCTCTGTGCTTTTAGGAGTATTAATGAGAAGCTGTGGGGATAGGCTGGGGGCTGGGAGGGAGACCCGTTTGGAGGCCACTGCAGTGTCCTAAAGCCAGGGACAGTTGGCAAGGAGAACATGTGTGGTCAGTACTAGATGCTTCAGAGCACAATAGTGTTTAGATGAGTGGAGCTTGAGTAGGAAGATGATATGTTTGTAGAGGTGCTGGGCCTCCAACGCGGGGTGTTTAACCTGACCATTGGGGGACATGCAGAGCCACCTGCCCTCAGCCCCTGGAAGAAAAGGAGGGCCAAGACCGTGAGCTTTTAGAGCTGGCAGGGATCTCCCTGCACTGAGGCCCAGAGAGAGCACTCCCAGACACACACACACACACCCCACATACCATACACACACACCCCACATATAACACGCACACCACACACACCACATACCACACACACACCACATACACACCACCACACACCACACACACCACATACCACACACACACCACACCACACACACACCACATATAACACGCACACCACATACACACCACCACACACCACACACACCACACACACCACATACCACACACACACCACACACCACACACACCCCACATATAACACGCACACCACATACACACCACCACACATCACACACACCACACACACCACATACCACACACACACCACACACCACACACACCACACATATAACACGCACACCACATACACACCACCACACATCACACACACCACACACCCCACATACCACACACACCCCACATATAACACACACACCACATACACACCACACACACCACACACCACACACACCACACATATAACACGCACACTACATACACACCACCACACATCACACACACCACACACACCACATACCACACACACACCACACCACACACCACATACACCACACATATAACACGCACACCACATACACACCACCACACATCACACACACCACACACACCACATACCACACACACCACATACCACACACACACCACACACACCACACATATA